GAGCAGTGGGGCCAGCAGTAATGGTCTGCAGCAGTTATCTCCTATGCCCAGGGGCCCGGTGTCGTGGAGCGGTGGGGATGAGTGCAGCTGATGGTGTGAGCTGGCTCTGAGTCCGATTCTGCCCTTACCCATGGCCTTGAGGAAGTTAGATAACCCCTCTTGCCAGTGTCCACATGGGCAATGGGAAGTAATGTGAATATCACTGTAGGGAGCAAGTCATGAGGTACAAGGCTGCAAGGGCTCAGAGAGGGCTGGCTGAGATGGACCATTGGCAGTTTGTCCAGTGACAAGCTGGACACTGTCTCTTGTTGCATTTTTCTGACCAGTGGTAGGAGGTGAAGAAAGAAGGAAGAGGGAATAGAAGTGGGGTGTGGCCCCAAAAATGCCTGCCTGGGGGGATGGGTCACAATTGGAGTATCTGTGATGGGACCAGAGCAGGGAGGGGTAGGGGCATTTTGCAGGGCTCTCTGTGGCCACTGCCTCCCATATGTGACCCAGTCCTGAAGCTGAACCCCTGGGTCTCACCTAACAAACAGAGCCACCCTCTAGCTGCACCTGGCTCACTTCTGCCAGGCTGTTGTACAGGACAAGTCTGGGGAGCCCAGGGACCAAACCCCAGAAAACCCTGTGGAAAGCAAAGGAGGAGGGCTTGCAACCATGGTGGGCTTACTAAGGCCAAAGGAGGACCCCAAGTGCCATTCATACAAATGGTGTTGTAAAGGTTTTTTCATAAACCCAATATCTGTCAGCTAGTTTACTGGTCCAGGAATAGGGGAGGGAAGAGCAGCAGAGAGTTCCTGCTTTGAGTTTGGGGTGATCCTGGAGGGGTACTACAGGCCATCAAAGCAGAGGTGGGGAACCAGGAGAGGGCTAGCACTCAGGCCAGTGCCCAAACCACAGTAGGTGTCTGCAGGAATAGCCCTTCACTTCTAGCATTTGACTTTATCACAAGCAGCCTGCTGGGCAGCACATACTGACCCCCAGACCACCTTTCCTGGGCCAAGTTCAGACCTTCTGAACTTATATATGACCATCTGGCGTGCCCACCAAGCATTTGCTTTCAGTGTTGTTGTTGCTGTTAGCTGTCATCGAGTCAGCCCTGGACTCACGAGAACCTGATGCACAATGGGATTGGTTTTCACTGGCTGATTTTCTGAAGTAGATCTCCAGGCCTTTCTTCCTCATCTGTCTTAGTCTGGAAACTCTGGTGGAACCTGTTCACCATCCTAGATTTGTGTGTTAAAAATCTCCACTGACAAATGGACACATGGCTTGGAATTGAACCCAAGTCCACCCCAAGAAGGTGGGGAAATCATTGCAGCTGTATTAGTCTCCTATTGATGTTGTAACAAACTACTGCACAGTTAAAACCACACACATTTATCTCTGATAATTCTGGGAATCAGGGGTGCTAAAATCAAGGTGTCAGGGCAGGGCTGCCTTCCTCTTGGAAGCTGTAGGAGAGAATCTGTTCTTTTGCCTTTTCCAGCTTCTAGATGTTGCCTGCATCTTTCAGCTCGTGGCTCCTTCCTCTGTACTCAAAGCTAGCAGCATAGCATCTTTCCTTCTCTCTGTTTCTGTCCTCACATTTTCTCCTTTTGACCTTAACTTTCTCACGTGGTTCCTGTGATTACATCAAGGAACCCTGGTGGTGCAGTGGTTAAAGCTCTTGCCTGCAAACTGAAAGGTCAGTGGTACAAAGTCCACTAGCCACTCTGTGGGAGAAAGATGAAGCAGTCTGGTCAGCTTCTGTAAAGATTTACAGCCTTGGGGAACTGGGAGTTCAGGACCATAGTCTCGGGGGACATCAAGGTCAATTGACATAATAAAGTCCAGAAAGAAAATGTTTTATATCCTACTTTGGTGAGTAGCAACTGGCGTCTTAAAAGCTTGTGGGTGGCCATCTAAGATGCAACTATTGGTCTCTCCCCAGCCAAAGCAAAGAAGACTGAAGATAATCAAAGGCATGTGGAAACAATTAGTTCAAAAGACTAATGGACCACTCAAATCTCATTCTCCACAACCCTGAGACCAGAAGAGCTAGATGGTGCCTGAAAACCAGTCTGAAAGGGATCAAAATAGGAAGTCCTGGATAGTGGGAGAAAAATGTGGAACAGCGCTCAAAATCATAAAAAAGACCAGGAGTACTGGTCAGACAGAGACTGGTGGAACCCCTGAGACTGTGACCCTTAGACACTCTTCAAGCCTGGAACAGAACTCACCCTAATGGCACAACTTTCAGCCCAACAATAGACAGGTCTATAAGGTGAACAATACTCACTCGTGAGAACAATCAACCATATGAGATCAAAAGAGCAGTATTTGCCAGAGAGAAAGCTTGGAAGGCAGAAAGAGATAGGAAAGAAGGATGAATGGAAATGAGAAAGAGGGAGGAAGTGGGATGAGTGCTATAACATTGTGGGGATTGCAATCAATATCACCAAACAAAATGTGTATGAATTGTGAATGGAAAACTATTTGCTCTATAAACTTTCACACAAATCACAATAAAAAGGTCTTTTAAAAAATAAATAAATAATAAAGATTTACAGCCTTGGAAACCCTTTGGGGCAGTTCTACTCTGTATGAGTTGGAACTCGTGGTGAAGTAAGAGTGGTAGATCTAACTCCTGAGGAAATGGATAGTTGGATGCATCTGGAAATATAGAGTGATAAAGAAAGGATGAGACAGACAATTCCCTGGTTTCTGTTATCAATAATAGCTGCAATGTCAGGGAAAATGATTATAGCACTAAAGAATGTAGCACTTAGTTTGCAGCACTAAACCAAGCCCTAATCCAGTCCATTTCTAGTCTCAGGGACAATTCAGAAAGGAAAAATCTTATCAGAACATCAGAAAGTACCCCTACGACCACTGATCACCAACAAGGTAGTCTGGGAGAAGAACAGACAAAACCAAGAAACTATTGAAGCCAGGGGGCATAATAGTGTAAAAGAGTTGCTTCAGTTTATAGATCAATATTGTCAGCTTCCTGAGGAACCATGACTAAAATGGATTGTGAGAGTGACTAATTTAGAGGCAGTGTCTTTAGTTTTGAATTCTGCAGAATGGAAGAGCATGTTTGGGTTGATGCAAGACCCACAGCTCATTAAGGAATAGTCACAAATGATGATACAAGATCCAGTTACACAGCAAATTAACTCAGAGGGGAAGACCAGCCTGGGGGACTGGATAAAATTTGCGGTGAGATTTGTTTACCCTGAGAAGGGAAACTCTCCGTCTCCCACTCTAAGAATCTCCTGGAACACTCCAGAAGTAGCTAATGTGCTGCTTATGCAAGTCATGCTAGAATGGCTTTATGGTGATCAGGATTTTCACCCAATGAGCATGCCCCTTACACAGATCATGGCAGATATGGTAATCAAGGGAATCCCTTCTACATGGGCAAAGAAACATTTTCTGAGAAGCCATGTCAGATCTGTTGGCACAGCTTCCCCACGTGAGTCTTACAGATGCAAGACTTGGAATGGGAAGAGGAAATGGGGAAACAACTTACCCCATCAAGACAGAGATTTTTAGATGGCTGCTAAGAAATGGGATGAACATAGTAGACATTGATAGAGTTGAGACAAAGGTTCTAATGAAGCACTGTAGAAGTTTAGGAGAACCAAAGGAAACTCTTGTCAGTCCTCCAACAAGTCTGTTCTATTCATCCTAATTAGGAGGAATTTAATGATGGGAAGTCTTACCTGGGACCATTTGAAGCAGAGGCTCAGCTAGTTGATCAAGATAAGGATTGATGAGGGGGCCCAGGTCTTTTTGTCCAGCCCCCAGCAGGGTACCTGAGGCCATATGCACATGTGTGGGTAAAATATCCTGGGGATGGGGAAGATAACTTCTTGGGTTCCTGGACATAGGAGCCCAATGTACTGTAGTCCCAAAACCTGTTGACATAATCTTGAAGGAACCTAAGGTTAAACTGGGGGCTATGAGGATGCAGTGGTTGATGGTCTAAGGTGAAAGTTTGGGTAAGAATTGAAAGATATAAACAGATCTTGTAGGAAGTAGTTGTATCTCCCTTACCTGAATGTATTATTGGTATGGATATTATGTCTAATCGGGGAACACACTCTCTACCTGATATTGTAAAACTGAAGGTGTAATTCTACCCTCAGGCCAGTATTAATTGGACATACTAAATGAGAACAATTAGAATTACCCAGTCAGGTTGCTAATTTGAAACAGTACAGGATATTTTGGTGGACAAAAGAAGATCAGTGCTTTGATTAAAAACATACTGAATGCTAGAATGTTGATATAAAAAAATTAACTGTATAACTATATGGCTTGAGAAAAAGGCAGATAACTCATGGAGGTTGACAGACTATCGAGGCCTAAAGAAAGTAGTGCCACCTGTGGCTTCAGCTGTTTTAGAAGTGGAATCAGTGGTGCAGAAAATACAGACAAAATAAAGAGGACTGTTACTCAGTGCTTGATCTTGCAAATGCCTTTTCTCAGTCCCAGTCTTGGGAAAGAACCAACCACAGTTTGCTTTCACTTAAAAAGGATCTCAATTTACTTTCAATATATTGCCACAATGCTACTTGAATTCATTGACTTATTGTCATAGTTTGGTCATAAGAGAGTTGGACTTGGTTCAGATCTCATGGGTAATGATACATCTCATTGATGATATTATGCTAATATCATCAATGAGACGTATCATTACTGAAAAACAGGATAGGGCAGATTTGAAAATAGTAGTGGTCCACATGACCAACAGAGGCTGGTTTATAAATCCAGCAAAAATCCAGGGCCCTTCTCTAACAGTGAAATTCTTGGGAATAACTTGCACAGGAGCCACCCATAACATTCCACAAGTGGTCAGCATCACATCACGCCCTTCATGTCATGTTCGATCATTTCCCCGATGGAGGGCCTGTGTTTGCCCATCTCAGCTGCCCCAGCGTGGACCTCTTGTATCGGGAGTTGGCAGCCTTTATCAGGATTGAGACAGTTTGGGTATTAGAGGTTAGAAGGCAGTGGTGGTTCAGTGGTAGAATTCTTGCCTTCTACTCAGGAGACCCAGGTTCAATTCCTGGCTAATGTGCATCACATGTAGCCACCACCTGTCTGTGAGTGGAAGCTTGCATGTTGCTATGATGCTGAAGGTTACAGCAGACCTTACAAACTAAGATGGACTAGGAAGAAAGGCCCTGGTGATCTCCTCCCAAAAGTCAGCCCATGAAAACTCTATAGATCACTGCAAAACTGATTCACAGCTGAGTGTGGGATGGTACAGGACCAGGGAGCATTTTGTTCCATTGAGTGTGGGGTCTCTGTGAGTTGGAGGCTGACTCAATGGCAACTGTCGACAACAAATTAAGAGATTACAGCTCATCTTCTGTGTCCCAGCATCCTCGCTATGATGAGCCATGAGCACTGACACCTTGTGCTCTGCCACATGGGATATTCAGCCCAGGTAGCCCCCAGCCTATCACCCAGAGGCCCTGTGGCCCTGCCAGTGGCTTCCTGGCTACATGAATGGCCTGTCCAATCAGAGCTGGCCTGAGCTTTCTCTGCTGTTGCCTGTGGTGGGGGGAGGGAGGATGGAGCATAAAGTGGCTTTGGAAGCCTTGGGTGTCTCTTGACACAGTTTAGTCTCCCAAGTCTGGGGAGGGGGCCCTCCATGAAGTACCCCTGACCAGTGATCAAAACATGGCCTTGGAAACCCAGAATGTGGAATTGTGGCTCTGTGTTGGGTTGAGTTGTCTGAAGTTGCTGTGTGTGTGTGTGAGTTTATATATATCAGTGTGTTAGTATGTGTGTGTTTGTATGTATATATGAGTGTGTGAGAGTGTGTGTGAATCTGAGTGCATGTATATATATGTATGTCAGTGTGTATGTATCTCAGTGTGTGTATGTGTGAGAATGTTGTATTATATGAGTATGAGTGAATGTATGAGGGTATGTGAATATATGGCTGTATGTCAGTGTGTGAGTGGGTTATGTATATGTGAGCGTGTGGGTATGGGTATATGTATTTATGTCAGTATGTGAGAGTATATGTACATTTGAGTGTATGAGTGTGTGTATGTGTGACAGTGTGTGAGTGTATGTATGGCAGTGTCTACGAGAGTATGTGTATATATGTGAGTGTGTGAGTATGTATGTGTGTGTGTGTATGTATATGTGAGTTAGTATATGTGTGAGTGTGTGAATATATGTATGTGTATGTGTCTATGTATATGTGAGTGTATATGTTTGTGACTATATGTATGTATGTTTATCAGTGTGTGTGTGTATGTATATGTGAATGTATACATGTGTGAGAGTGTATATTTCAATGTCTGTATATGTGAGTGTGTGAGTATGTGTATGTGTGTGGATGTATATGTATATGTGAGTGTATGAGTGTATGTGTGAGAGTGTGAGTGTATGTATGGCAGTGTGTGAGTGTGTGTATGTATATATGAGTGTGTGGATATATATGTGTGTGTGTATGTACATGTGAGTGTGTGTATGTACATGTGAGTGTGTGTATGTGTGAAAGTGTGTGGGTATATGTATGTGTGTCAACATGGTATGTGTGAGTATGTGTGTTGGTAGGACAAACACAGTTGACTATCAGCCTTTTCATAGGATGTGACCTAATATTAAACCAAAGGAAATGGTTCTTACGTGTTAGAAATGCATGCTTAAGTATTGCAGGTGAAGTGATGTCATACGTAGAATTTGCTTTAAAATGCACTGGCATAAAATAAAGGGAAAAGCTGGGTGGGGCTCAGACTAGTATGGAGCTAGGCAGTAGATTCCTGGAGTTCTTCATGCTAATCTCTCTACTTCTGTCTGAGCATTTAGAAATTTCTACAGCAAGTAGTGGGGTACAGGCAGGCAGACACAGGCTGAGCCCCAGGAGTCCAGTCCCCTCCCTGCCTTCTAAGACCAGTGGCCTGGTTGGTAGGAGATGGTAGGGAGTCCTTTTGGGGCAGTCATGGGGCTGGGGAAGCAGAAAGGTTGGCACTGGCCCCACGGTTCCCAGCCATGCTCCGCCCCCAGACAGTGGCTACAGGCTGGCCACGCAGCCTGCCGCCAACTTCCGAGGCTCCAATGTCATCACCTAGGCAACAGGGACGCTGCCACCGCCTGCCAGCCCGTTGAGCCGCAGCCTCCACTGGCCACACCGACCCTCCTAAGGCCCAGCTTAAAACCAAGGTAGGCTGAGGCTCAGCCTTGCCCCCTTTTTCAGGCGGACGCATGGCCCCTAAAAGTGGTTCTGTGTCGACACCCCAGGTGCAGAGAGCCCGGGTCCCACTGCCCTCTCTGTAGCCCAGTGCTTAGGGCAAGGGTGGTGGGCAGACAGGCAGGCTGGCGGCCCAGTCAGTCCAAGGGTCCTGTCCCTGTGCCCCTGATGGGACATGGGTAAGGGGGGCCCTTGCATGGGCAGCACTTCGGGGAGTCATTTGCCCTGGTGCATTGGGGCTTCTTGTGTGATGCTGGGTCAGGGATACACCAGGTCTGCAAGGCAGATATGCTTTTGTGCCACCGCCTCAGCCCTTGGGTCCACAGAGAACCCCCTCCACTCCCTGCCAGGGGGGACGTTGAGCAAAGAACTTTCTCAGCCCTGCCAAGGTGGGGCACATCTAAGAGCTGGCCCACTGGAGACGGACACTTGGCAGACTGTGGCCTGTTCACAGTGTCCCTGTTCCCTTAACCACATGTGGCATCAGAACCCACATCCCTCACCCACAGGGCATGGCTCTCCTCCTGGCAACACTGGACTGGCTGTAAGGCCTGGCCCAACACTGGCTAGCTGGCTGCCCTGTGCCTGCTTAGCCACCGCCGCCTGCTTCTGTGTCTAGACTCTGCAGTCTGGGAGGTGTCCAGAGTCTGCTCAAACCTGAGAACAGGGAGGGACAGGTTTGGGATATTAGCTGGGATGAGGGCAGAGTGTGTATGTACATGTGTGGGCATATGTGTATGTGTACGTGTGTTTTATTTGTGTGTGTTCACCTGTGTTTGTGAATGTGTTTACGTGTATGTGTGCATGTGTATGGTCTGAGCCCGACTCTGCTCTTAAAGGCAGTCACCCATGGGCATGCCCCACAGTGAGGGGAAAGGGACCAAGTAAGGGCAGGTCAGGAAGCAGTCTTCTCAGAACTAGAGATTGTGTAATGGAGGGGGAGGGCGGTTTGACTGAGAAGTGGCCAAGTCACCAATGTGCAGATTGTCACGGCAGCCCAGCAGACAGCCAGATCTTACTAGGTACTTGTGGACCGATTAATCCTGCCTGGAAGGTATGACAACCCCATTTTACAGACCAGTAAACAGAGGTCCAAAAAGTCCACTGCTGGGAGACAGCACTGTGTGACTGAAGACAAAGTGTGGGCTGGCAGGTGTGAGCCAGCCTGGAGGGCTCTGAGTGTGCACACTCCTGACCCTTTCCTGTCCTGCTGTGCTCCTTTGCCATCTCCTCACACGTCCTCTTGGCTCTTACCTGGCCCACCAAGGCTACATCACTGATTGCCAGTCCTGGGCTTCCCAGGCCCATTTTAGTCCCATGATGCTACCTCAAGTCCCATTGCATCCCTCCAAGGAGCTGAGACTCCTTCTCTTCCCCCAGGGTCCATAGTCATGGGCCTGGTACCCATCTTGTAGCTGATAAGCTCCGTCCCTTTCCAGCCCTACCTGGACATTCCAGAAGGCACAGACCAGAAGGCCTGCCTCAAGGCTCAATCCCTTGTTGTGGGCATCCTCCACCTGGTCCCCAGAGCTCTCCAACTTGGCTTGTATGACCTGCAAGGTAACATCCCACGTGGGCTCCTAGTTGACTCTGGGGGCAAAGGCTGGCCCACCTGTCTGTCCCCCAGTAGGTGGGGGTCTCCTGGAGGCAAGTGGTGGCCTCATGCCTATGAGAGGAAAAGGAGCCTCTGTGTAGGGTGGCTCCAGAGTTAAGTCTAAGGCCAGCCTGACATGCAGCAGTTTGGCCCTGGGCAGTTACTGTCCTTCCGGTGTCTCGGTAAGAAATGTTAGCTGCTGTCAAGTCAGTGCCGACCCCTGGTAACCCCATGTGCAGTAGAACAGAAACACTGCCTGGTCCTGAATGGTCCTCATGATTGTTGGTATGCTCCAGTTCATTGCTGTGTGTTTTGAGTGCCTTTCAACCTAGGGGGTGTATCTTCCAGAGTTCAATCAGACAATATTCTATGGTGAGCCATAGGGTTTTTGTTGGCTAATTTTCAGAAGTAGATCACAAGGTCTTTGTTCCTAGTTTCTTTTAGTCTGGAAGCTCTGCTGAAAGCTGTCCATTGTAGGTGACCTTGCTGGTATTAGAAATTGGTGGCCTAGCTTCCAGTATCACAGCAACACAACTGACAGACAGACAGATCCGGGTGTGATCTGTAGGAAAGGACATCTGGACAGTGGGGTTTAGCAGAATTTTCCTCCTGCTCCGCGTTGAGGAGCTTAAGTGAGTCGACAAACACAGAGGACTCCAGGAAGGGCCCAGCACACAGTGAGTGCTCAGTAAATGCTGGCCACCATTGTCAGAAAGATCAGCGCCAGGGGATGGTGGCATTTTGGCAGAAGTGGGGACAGGTCAGCAGATGTAGGGGCTGCTGTCTACAACAGCAGCTGTCTGTGCTCTGAGGAATGCTGATGGGTGTTTCTGGAGTGAGGGATAGATGGACAGATGGATGTGATGGCAGCTTGTATGACATGAAGACATGCTGCTGACTTCTAAGTCAGATTCAGCATGCAAGAAACATGAGCTGCGACAGCTCAGCCAGAATTGAAGGAGGCTGGTGGAGGCTAAGGAGCTCTGGAGGCGTAGTGCCTAAGGCATTTGACTGCTAACCAGAAGGCTGGCAGTTCAAACCCACCAGCCACTCCTCGGAAGGAAGGTTGGACAATTCTACTTCCATGGAGATATTGCCTCAGAAACTCAAGGAGGGGTCGCTATGAGTCAGGTTTGACTCAATAGCACATACCAACAACAACAGCAGTTCAGGCTAAGGGAGCTCTGGTGGCATAGTGGTTAAGGCTGACTCTGACTCATGGAGACACCACATGTGTCAGAGTAGAACTGTGTTCTCTAGGGTTTCAGGGGCT